TCCCTTTCTCCTTGTTTTTAATAGCTTTGGCTTTTATATATCAATGATGTTAGTTTATTAGAAGCATTTATGACAATTATACTTTCTTGGTGGATTTTAACTTTAATCAATGCAAAGCATCCCTTTACAGGATGTTTTTACCTTAAATTCGACTTTCTCTGATACTGTCATTGCTATCCGAATTTGCCCATCTTATGTAAAATGTGCTCTTATGAATGGTATAGATCTCATATCTTCCAGAAATTCCCTCATTGTTTCTAGTCCAGTAAAGGTAAGTTTCTGTTCTCCAACACTGTGAAGTTCTTCTTACTATTTTGTCAATCAATTCTTGAAAGTATAATTCTTTTTAAAATTATTATTATTTTTTTAAGATATTTATTTATTAATTTGACAGAGAGAGAGATCACAAGTAGGCAGAGAGATGGGCAGAGAGAGAGGGGAAGCAGGCTCCCCACCGAGCAGAGAGCCCGATGTGGGACTCAACCCCAGGACCCTGAGATCATGACCTGAGCCAGAGGCAGAGGCTTAACCCACTGAGACACCCAGGCATCCCTTTAAAATTATTTTTAATTTAAATTCAATTAATTAACATACAGTATATTACTGATTTCAGAGGTAGAGGTCAGTGATTCATCAGTCTTATATAATATGCAGTGCTTGTGACATCACATGGCCTCCTTAATGTCCATCACCCAGCTGTCCCATCCCCCTACCTCCCTCCCCTCCAGCAACCCTAAGTTTGTTTCCTAGAGTTTGAGAGTCTCTTATGGTTTATATTTATTTTTATATTATATATTTTAACTTTTATATTTTAATCTTATTTCCTTAGTTTTATTTCTTTTTTTCTAATTTTCTTCCAATTATTATTGCCCCTACAGTCGTATTGCCTGGAGCTTACTATAACTAAGCATAATTTACAATTCTCTGGGGAAAAAAAGCGGATACTTTAAGCATTATAAGCAATGTGCTTATAATGGATGACACTGCACAGTTTAATTATACTTGCATTAGGAATATCCTAACAAATATTTTTATAAACAAATGAGCAGTTAGTGATATTGCCAAATGGCAACATTTATTATGAAAAATAATGTGAAGTAGTGTCAAATTTAAACATATAATTTAGAATATTTATCTGTGGCTCAGACTCAAATTGCAACACATAGAAGAGCAGAGAATTAGGATAGTAATCAGCTTAGAACATACATTCAGTAGGAAATACAGCTGACCGTGAACAACATGGATTAGGACTGTGAGGGCTCACTTATATGTGGATTTTTGGAATAAATACAATATGGTACTGTAAATGCAGGTTTTTTTTTTTTATAAACACAGTATACTACAATAAATGTATTTTCTCTTCCTTATGATTTTCTTAGTAACATTTTCTTTTCTCTAGCTTACTTTCTTGTAAGAAAACAATATATAATATATTTAACATAGAAAATAAGTGTTAATCAATTGTTTCTGTTACTGGGAAGATTTCCAGTCAACAGTAGGCTACTAGTAGTTGGGGATTTAGTAGTTTGGGGGATTTAAAAGTCATACATGGATATTTGGGTGCCTGGGTGGCTCAGTGGGTTGAGCCTCTGCCTTCAGCTCAGGTCATGGTCTCAGGGTCCTGGGATCAAGCCCCGCATCGGGCTCTCTGCTCGGCGGGGAGCCTGCTTCCCCCTCTCTCTCTCTGCCTGCCTCTCTGCCTGCTAGTGATCTCTCTCTCTCTGTCAAATAAATAAATAAAATCTTAAAAAAAAAAAAAGAAAAAGCCATACATGGATTTTAGACTGCATGATGGGGTGTCAGTGCTCCTAGCTCCACATTGTTCAAGAGTACACTGTACATATTTCTCATACTTCATTGTGACAAAGGACTATAATTTTTGTTTTACTTTTTCATTAACAAAGAGATGAATATGTAAGTTATTTAAAGTGGAGACGTTCTCAGCATTTTTTTTGGGGGGGGGGGATGGGAATGGGACTAATTTCTTCAAAAACTGTCCTGAAATTGGCATGGAAAATTGGAGTAAGAATTTCTGGTAAATATGATTTGGGGAAAAAGGCATATTTAGCCCAATAAATAGGGGAAATAATTGGTTAAAATAAATGAATGCTGAATGAGGAAAATATTTCCTTAATAGCACTGGAAGCAAAACTCTGGAAACACTCTGTATTAGCCAGAGCACTAAGAAAACATTTGATATGAAACAATACCTCGGGGAATACAACAGGCCCCATACTGGTCTAATGTCTATAATTTCATCTAAATGTCAGTAATGGAAAAATAGGAGGGGGAAGTAAGATTACAAAAAACACATGGGCCTGTCTGCCTTTCTGCATGTAGCTCTATGGGGATTCTCTATTAGAATTACATAATAGAGGAATCTGGCCTGGGCTATGCAAGAAAAATTATCTACAGCCATGACATTTTCCATGCTGCATCTGTGGGCACAAAATACAGGCAAGAACTCAAATTTTCTGTTTTGTCACACTTTTGAAAGAGCAGGGAGCACTGGAGCTGTTTCTTCCTGTACTTGGAATCAACTTGAACACCCACCCAAACCCCCATTTTTTCCTTTCTTAATAGGGAGTTTTTCCTCTCTGAAAATAACATTTGCTTACTTTTGACTCTGTTATCAAGTAGGGTAACACGAAATGCAGGTCGAGTCTGATTACTTCAAAGGGTTTTTTTTTTTTTTTATGTTTTTTGCTCACTTGAAGGAAACATGACAGGATCATAGCATATGAATTTTGAGCAGAGCTGAAAGGTTATTTGGTTCAACTCCACAGAGGTGAGTCATGTGCTCATAATGTTGTAAATGGTTAAGGGAAGAGTAGAGCCAAATGGACACCCTGAGTCTGCTCCCACCTGGGGCTGTGTGCACTTCACTGACCCAGCTCACATTTACGTCAAATGCTGAGGAAGGCTGATATGTAACTTCCTCCAGTGACTCCCCATTCCCCATTATTATTCCAAAGAGATGCTGCTGAGGAAAAGCAAAGATGTGACTGGATGTGGTAAGGGGCCACTCAGTCCTCCTTATGAAAATTTACAAGGGAATAATGCATCCCTTCTGGAATTTCACTTCACATTTTCAAAGGTCAGAGGCAGCTTTGTAATAAGTCTTCATGCTTATATCAAAAAGCATTAAAAATATATATTTATAAGGTATATTTCTAATGTAGTTTTCACCTTGCAATAAAATCATATAGGAAATAAAATCTTATAATACAACGTTTCCTACAGTTTCTTTATTGCTTATGTTAGCAAACTGATGGGTGATAATCTTGATAAGAAAACCCCCACACTGCACACTCGTCAGCCTTTACTTTCTCTCTCAGAGCTGTGAAGAGTGCAGGGGACCAAATAGCCCAGCAGCCCAGCCAGGAGTTGCCAGTCTGGTTTCTGAGACTTGACGACGCAGTGCACTAGAAGACCATGGCTGACGACTGAACCATCTCTCTGGGGCAGAGTCACAGTCACTAAGTTCAAGAGGCTGCTCTCTAACACCAGAATATTCACGTGGAGCACAAAACAGATCTGTCCCGGGGAACAGGAGCATGTGCACCTGCAATCCCACGGCCTCAAGCCCAGCTCAAACAATTGTCAAAGCAATCGATGTATTTCCGAGTATATGAATAATACATTCTCCTCCTAGGAGTTAAGCTACATTGGGAAAAAATAATCAGAACAATGGAAGTCAGATTTGGAATGCTCAGTGGCAGACGCCACTGAAATCTCACAGGAAGGACGTACACCAGCAAAGGGGCTGGAAATCATCGAGCACTACAGCCTGCTACACCAGCTGTCCCCTGAGTGACGGCCTCACCACGCGGTCAGAATACTCTGCCCATGCCAATACAACTTACTACATCTGTCTCTGCTCGAGGAGCAAAGATTCCCTGACCCCCAGACAGAACCTCAATAGGTACTTGTCTTTTTTTTTTTTTTTATTTTCATTAATAATATCCCCTACCCCTGCCGTTCTGACTGATAGCCCTCCTTCAATAAAATTACAGTTAAGTCTTGCAACCTGGAAACTACTGAGACTTTTTAAGGTAAATTTATATTTCTAAGTCTCACTTCATTAGGGTTTCTAGTTAAAAGTTTGGCTTTTAGAGCACCTGGGTGGCTCAGTTGGTTGAGTGACTGCCTTTGGCTCAGGTCATGATCCTGGAGTTCTGGGATCAAGTCCGCATTGGGTGCCCAGCTCCACAGGAAGTCTGCTTCTCCCTTTGACCTTTTCCCCTCTCATGTTCTCTCTCACTCTCTCTCAAATAAATAAATAAAATCTTTTTTAAAAAAAGTTTGGCCTTTAGAAGGTCCTTCTGTATCCTCTATTTCCAAGTTCTCGGGACAATGTTAACAGTTCAGACTACTTTCACATGTCAGTCATGCATGACTGGCATATAAAACCTCAAAATTTCTGTACTACTCTTAATATAACCTGCAATGCCAAGAAACAAAAAATATATATATTTTTCAGAGGATGCATTCTTCCAACATCCCTAAGTAGGCATTTTTCTATTACCTTAATATAAGAATGTAAGCTCCTTGAGGGTGGGGATTTCCACTTTGCTCACCAATTTATTCCAAATCACTAGAACACTGGAGTGCTCAATAAATGTTTTTGAACAAATGAATACAATCTAAAATGTGAACCCCATATTAAAAAAAATCAGAAGCAAGAAATGAGACTCTCTAAATCAATTCACATTTTCAACTTGATGTCTCTCACTCCACAAACTATCAACACATTCTTCAACAAAAATCTCAACAATAATTGAAAAGCATTATAATAATTACTAAAATACATTATAGTTAAGATATTTAAGAATGTCTGCTAACATTTATCAACATAAAATTACTTGAAAATTCTTTTATTATTCCAATTTTTTTTAACACATTTTATTCCTCAAAATTACACTTGAAGTAAAGTGTCTGGGAACACATTTTTTTTTTTCTTTAGTAAGTGCAGATTAGAGGGAAGTAAAAGGCTTTACCTATCACTTTATTCTTCTTTCCATTTTTTATAGGTGTACAAAGCAAACTTCTAATGCACTGCTGGTTTATATTTCCTGTGTTTTCATTCTAAACAAAAACAGAAATAAAACAAAACAGGTACAAATTATGAAGAGACTGTTTTGCCCACTACGTGCTATATAAACTAGATCAGACATCTGAAATCCCTAACCTATTCATTTATCTTTTATTAGCTGTAGATAACATCAGAGTACAGAAAATGTATAAATTATAATGAAGTTCACGTAAATGCAATATGCAGCAATTAGTCTTTACATTATTAAGATTAATAAATATCCTATATTTCTTTTTTTTTTCATTCCAAACTTTCTAAGCAGCCTTTGATAATATACAGCAAAATACTAACACAAGTATTTACTATGCCGGTGTAGCAGATGTCTCAATAACTTAAGACAGGCAGAATCCATAAAGCACTACACTACCTCGGATGCTACATGCTACATACTTGTCTTTCTTTAGGACTGCCACTGTTTCTATTGCCCATACTGCTGAAGTTCTAAAGAGGTCTTCTAGATACTCAAATAACAAAATCAAGGCAGCTGCCTGAAAGTGCAATGCTTTTCCAGAGATGAGAGAAAAGACTAGAATTCAAAGTTTTCAATGCCTGAGAAACGGACTTTTGTAGCTTTGCTGTCAAAGAAGACATACTCATTTCTCCACAGAGCTACTCACCGTAATAGATTACCAGGTCTATAAGTTCGAGCCATATGGAACTTAATTTCTGAGGATAAACTCAAGAACTCCAGCAACACTATGTAAGGAATGCCATTGACATTAAGTAGGTAATAATTAAATTGTCTCATAAATTAGTTTAAGATAATTCATTATTATATATTACAGAGCTGAAAAGTACAGGGGAAAAATACTTGAGTACAGCTGACCACCCCTCAACAGATGTTATGAGCTATTTTATTTTCCTTCACCGGATCAGGGAAAGCACTGCTCACTCTGAAATATAGCCAGTTCTCAGGCCAGGCCTTCAGCTGAAGAGTCCCTAGAAGTACAGATCTGATGGGAAAACAGTGTTCAAGCTCCAAGTTTGAAATTGGTTTACTTACTGTCCAGGGAAATCTTTTGTCCTTACTGACATCCGGGATATTAAGTGGTTCCATAGTATTTTTGACATACTGAGCATACATGTAATTGATTCTGTTTGCATCACGTTCCCTGTGGAAAAAACAGATATAAGTTCTTCCTGTGCAGTGAAAAAACAGGGGCAAAACAAAGTTTAAATAAATGATAATATTAGATCCACACTAGCCTTAAATCATAGGTTAAAGTGTGTCTCTTCATTGGAAAATGCACTTTCAATGTGATGATTTACAACTTTGTAGTTACTATAATTGAAATGCTTTGAAAAGACAAAGGCCCACAATTCCTCAGCCATCTAAAACAAATTTTAAAATGCCATTAAGTAATGCTACCACTCCCGTTAATGGGCATGTTGATTTTTATGCTGTTTATGTAAAATCCGTAGGAGTTTTTCTTTTCATGTCTTCTTTTTTCATCAGATTATAGAATGACTAAGATCTAGTGCCTGTTTGACTTCCTCAGTTATTTACTTTCTCCACCACAATAGTCGTTTACACATTTCAAACCAAGGGGAAAATCAAGCATGCCTAGAAGAATTTTATTAAGCTTTTTTCTTTTTTTCTGCTTTGAGATAATTTATGATACTTTTTTAAATGAAAAATGTATCTTCTTCAAAAAATTTTCCTGAGGTTACAATTTTTTCCCCAGTTATTTCCCTGTTGCTTGCTTAAAAGGCTGAATATTAAAGATTAATTGGATGTTAGAGGGTACATAAGCACAATGCCAGGGCTGCAGCTGGGAAAACAAGATAGACCATGTTTTTACATCAGGAAACTTTGTATGTTCCCAGCAATGGGGATGATTTGGGCAAAGAGTGTCAGGTTGTGGAAATTTACTCAAATGATAAGGATATGCCTATCTTAACTATAATATCACTAACTGAAGAAATAGGAGAGTCTAATATTGAGAGATATTTCAGAATAAAATACATGCTTCTCGAAGTTCCAATATTTTCCCTATCTTTCATCTTCCTTCCCAACCCCTGCACCTCCAACCTGACCAAACTGCCTCTTGGGATGGCTGTCTTGAGCACTAGTGAGTCCACCAAGACTCCTGAAGGCGGTGGCCTCATTCCTGACCAAGAAACTTTAGCCTTTCCTTTCTTTGTAGTACATTTTAGTTTAAGTGTAATTTGGTCAAAATGGGTGAAATTTGACCCCACGTCCAGTACTGTATATAAGTGAAAAAGAATAAAGAGCAAATGACAATAGTCACATAGGAGTACATAAATGCCAGCATGGACATTTACTGAGATGACAATGATGATCCAGGAAGGCATGCGTACTGTCCAACACATCAGACCTAGGACCTGACTCCTCTTTCACTCATTAATTGGGTGGAATCTAAAACAATTTTAAAAACTATTCATAGATAGCTAAAGTCTCAGGAAAAGAAAATAAGAAGCTTAATAAAGATAAGAAAAATGGAATGGTGGTTACAAGGAGAACAAGTACACTGGAGAAGATACCCTTGTCTGAATCTTTTTTAAAAATAACAACACTGTTAATGACTTTTATTATTTTTATCACCATCATTATGTTCACAGTGGGAACCGGATGAAACCCAAAATAGTTAAGGGACTTGCCAGAGATCCTAAAATCAGACCCACAGGCATTAACATAGAGAAGGAGAAGTAATTTTAATTACCTTTAAATTAATAGAAATTGATTTTTTTAAATTTCCTGCAAATGTTCAGTTTTCTTAATAGTGACTTTAGTGAAAAATAAGTATTAAGATTTATTAAGTTATGTGATACATTTTGTTTCTTACTCTCTAAGAAATACTGGTGAATTCTGAGTCCCTGCACTCAACACAGACTGAGCACCTGCTCCACAAGAGGCACCCTTGGTGTCACATGGGAGACAAGCTTATGCAGGCCAGTAGCTGTCACAAGGAGCTTACAACCTGGCAGAGGCCACGACACAGCACAGACAATCCTTTCAGCTGCCCGTCCTGTTTGGGTAGAGTCCAGTGCCAAGGATGCCAGCTGTCCCTCTGTAACTCTCCTCCGTTCGTCTTTATCTGGACACACGGTCACCCAGAACAAACACTGTGCTGCCCAGCCACCATACTGGAAATTCTAGTCAATAGATGTAGGAAGACATATGGCGGCTTCTAGAAACCTCATGTACAAGAAAGCTGTTGCACGCTCTCTGCCTTTTCTTTCACTGCCCACCCCTGCCCCCCCCCCACTCCCCTTTAAAAGATGGCTGCGACAAAAGGAGCTGCATCCCTGACAAGGAAGGCAAGGGCCATACCTTGGAGACATGGAGTAGAAAGCCCCAAAGTGCCTGGGGGCCTGAGGCTTTGGGGAGCTCAGCTGCAGCACCCGAGCTGCTGACCTCTGGGCTTTTCAAGGAAAGAGTAATTAAACTGCATTCTTGTTTAAGCTACTTCTGTTTGGGAGATTTTATGATTTGCAGTCAAGCCTAATCCTCGCTAATGCAATTGGCAAAATGCAAGCACCACACATGTGGAGCAGATCAATAGCTAACACCTACATGGAGTGGATTAGGGAAGAGGAAGCATTAGAGAAATGTGTAAAAGGCGGGATAAGATTTAAGGATGTGGAGAAACACATCAGGGATGAAAGGGAGGGGGTTCCAGCAGGAAAAAAACAAAACAAAACAAAAAACAAAACAAAAAAACTCCTCAGCATAAAACACACCTTTGAAATGCAAGAGTTCTATCTATGGGTATTTGGAGAACACGAAATAGATTGTTAGGAATAAAGTGATGGTTTCAGGTTGAAGATGTTAGCCTGGGCAGACAGTGGATTATTCTGAAAGAACAATGCAAAGAATATGGAACTCCTTCTTTAACTAACAGGACTATTATGGAGACATATCTTGAAAGAAGTTGCTGTGGTCAGTGTCGAAGTTTTTACTGCCTATGTTCTCCTCTAGCATTTTGATAGATTCCTGCCTCATGTTGAGGTCTTTTATCCATTTTGAGTTTATCTTTGTGTATGGTGAAAGAGAATGGTCGAGTTTCATTCTTCTACACATAGCTGTCCAATTTTCCCAGCACCATTTATTGAAAAGACTGTGTTTTTTCCAATGTATATTTTTTCCTGCTTTGTCGAAGATTATTTGACCATAGAGTTGAGGGTCCATTTCTGCGCTCTCTACTCTGTTCTACTGGTCTATGTGTCTGTTTTTGTGCTAGTACCATGCTGTCTTGATGATCACAGCTTTGTAGTAAAGCTTGAAATCAGGCAACGTGATGCCTCCAGTTTTGTTTTTCTTTTTCAACATTTCCTTAGCAACTCGGGGTCTCTTCTGGTTCCATACAAATTTTAGGATTGCTTGTTCCAGCTCTTTGAAAAATGCCAATGGAATTTTGATCTGGGTGGCATTGAAAGTATAGACTGCTCTAGGCAGTATAGCCATTTTAACAATGTTTATTTGTTCTTCCAATCCATGAGCATGGAATGGTCTTCCATCTTTTTGTGTCTTCTTCAATTTCTTTCATGAGTGTTCTGTAGTTCCTCGAGTATAGATCCTTTACCTCTTTAGTTAGGCTTATTCCCAGGTATCTTATGGTTCTTGGTGCTATAGTAAATGGAATCGATTCTCTCATTTCCCTTTCTATATTTTCATTGTTAGCGTATAAGAAAGCAACTGATTTCTGTAAATTAATTTTGTATCCTGCCACATTACTGAATTGCTGTATGAGTTCTAGTAGTTTGGAGGTGGAGTTTTTTGGGTTTTCCATATAAAGTATCATGTCATCTGTGAAGAGAGAGTTTGACTTCTTCATTGCCAATTTGAATACCTTTCAAGATATGTCTCCAAAGGCAAAGGAAACAAAAGCGAAAATGAACTTTTGGGACTTCAGCAAGATCAAAAGCTTCTGCACAGCAAAGGAAACAGTCAACAAAACAAAGACGCAACCTATGGAATGGGAGAAGATATTCGCAAATGACACTATAGACAAAGGTCTGATATCCAAGATCTATAAAGAACTCCTCAAACTCAACACACAAAACAGATGATTACATCAAAAATGGGCAGAAGACATGAACAGACACTTCTCCAAAGAAGACATACAAATAGCTAACAGACACATGAAAAAATGTTCATCATCATTAACCATCAAGGAGATTCAAATCAAAACCACACTGAGATACCACCTCACGCCAGTTAGAGTGGCCAAAATTAACAAGTCAGGAAACAACAAGTGTTGGAAAGGATGTGGAGAAAGAGGAACCCTCTTACACTGTTGGTGGGAATGTAAGTTGGTGCAGCCACTTTGGAAAACAGTGTGGAGATTCCTTAAGAAATTAAAAATAGAGCTACCTATGACCCTGCAATTGCACTACTGGGTATTTACCCCAAAGATACAGATGTAGTGAAAAGAAGGGCCATCTGTACCCCAATGTTCATAGCAGCAACAGCCACAGTCACCATACTGTGGAAAGAACCAAGATGTCCTTCAAAGGACGAATGGATAAAGAAGATATGGTCCATATATACAATGGAGTATTATGCCTCCATCAGAAAGGATGAATACCCAACTTTTGTAACAACATGGACAGGACTGGAAGAGATCATGCTGAGTGAAATAAGTCAAGCAGAGAGAGTCAAGTATCATATGGTTTCACTTATTTGTGGAGCATAAGCAATAACACAGAGGACATTGGGAGATGGAGAGAAGTGAGATGGGGGAAATCGAAGCAGGAGACGAACCATGAGAGACTGGACTCTGAGAAACAAACTGAGGGTTTTGGAGGGGAGGGGGTGGGGGATTGGGTGAGCTTGGTGGTGGGTATTAAGGAGGGCACATATTGCAAGGAGTACTGGGTGTGGTGCATAAATAATGAATCTTGGAACACTGAAAAGAAAAATAAAATAAAATGGAGAAAAACAAAACAAAACAGGAGTATTATGGTGGCCTTAAACACGTGCCTCTCAGAGCTCCAACTATAGGAAGCATCTCTGATGGGTGTCTCTAGCTATTGAGCTCTATCTAGATCCCAGGACCCTGATGAAGACCACATCTCCCACAGCTGCTTCCAGATGAAGACTGAGCCCAGTGGGGATATGAAGGCAGGTCCCCTTCTGGGAGACCTG